CTTACCAAGCCTATCAGCCGTTTACAAGTGTGGCAATAAGACTATTATACCAGTCAAGATCTACATTGTATATTTTTCTTTGCAGAAATGAAATAAAATTTTTATCCAAGTCTAAAATGTTTCCAAACTTCCTCATCATATAATAATTAATAATAATCATTCATTAACTTAATGTAGGTGAAAAGACAGTGAACAAAGGCACTGTACTAGGGAGGATTTAATAATTACCTAGAATTTTAACAGTGCATATAGTATTATGTCATTTAAGGAAAAGACCCAAATTCTACAATAGAGCAAACATTGTATTAAAGAGTGTAATAAACCAAGGACAGTGATCAATTTTAACAGATGTATTATTTTGTGGACCAGGTGTTGTTTTTTTAACCACATTAGTTGCCACAAGTTCTCAATAAACAGAGAAGATGGGGGCTTCCTGTTTTGTGACAGCTGTTTAATACTTTTACTCCATGAGTTGGATGCATAGTTCTGAAATCATCATTTTGAAAATATTTATTAGAGCATGTGCAGTTTTACAAGCAGATGAAGTAATTATAAAAAGTTATTTAAATTGCAGTTGACCTTTAGTCACCTGTCCCCTGAAATCTGAATTGGTTTAGTCGCATGAAACCCTACATAATTTTTTTTTCAATCCCTCATTTCAGACAAATGGGCAAGACTAGATTCTGAATCGTCAATTGAGAGTTACATGAATCGTTTAAAAGCAATTTCACGCCCATCTGGGCCGCTCTAGGAGAGGCTTCTGTCTATCAGCTGCCACCAACATTGCTTTGTCCCTTTAGTAGAAAAGCAGTGTGTAGCTGTAACATCAGAACTATCTCATGCTGTAAATATCTGGAGGGGTTTGGGGAGTTTCTTTTTTAATTCTATATCTACTGTTCATTGGCACACTCAGTACATACTTGGAAAATTGAATCATTATGGCACCAGCCACAAGAGGTAGATGGAGGGTTATAGTATCGCAGTGTTTTATCTTGAAGAGTCATTCACAGATCACTGTAGATTTAAAATCGAAGGCTTATGAAGTAACAGGTCAATGGGCTAGTATTCAGAAATCTGTCTCTTGAATTACAGTTAAGGGACTGAATTGCAGAACCACTGGAAGATATTTATTCTTCACGTGGACCAGTAGCTGCTTCTGTTCAAAGTAGACATTAAGGAGGTTGGCTCAGCTGTTGATAGATAGAACTTTGCTAGGAAATTAAACTGAGGATGGGTTTCACAGCCCTTTTATCTAGGCTTAGATGTGAGCAATCACTTAATCTCTCTGGGCCTCAGTTTCCTCATCTGTGAAATGAACTTTTTAGCAGAGATGATCCCTAAAATCCTTTCCAGCCAGGAAGGGGAACCAGCATTTGTTAATCACCTACTATTGCCTCACCCTGTGCTAAGCACCTTACCATTATGTCAAGTCATCCTCACAGCAACCCTAGGGAAGACGGTGCTGTTATTGTTCCCATTTTGCAGTTAAGGAAACAGAGGCAGGTGAAGGTTAAGTGACTTGCCCAGGGTCACCCAGCTAGTAAGTGTCTGGGTTTGAACTCAGGTCTTCTGACGCCAGACTCAGCACTCTATCCACTGTACCATCTAGCTGCAGCTGGCCCCACTTTAGGCGTGATTTAGTGCATTTCTGTTCAATTAGGCATCTTGGGGAAGACAGATGCACTGCTCTCAAGCCCCTTACAACTCTTAGGGAGACAAGATTTAGGCATTTGAGAATACTTGTTTGAATGAATTGGGACAATTAGAAAATGTCATGTCCTCATTGTTATCAAATGCCACACATACAGGACAGGCAGCAGTTTGAATTATGAGAAGATTGAGGTTGAAGGAACAAAGCAGCCAGGCCTGGAAGCACTTTCTGGGCATCCCTGGGAACCCATCTGGTTCTTCCCACTGCCATTGAATCACATTCGATCAATCTCTCTTCTGCCCTTTACTCCCCACCTTGTTGTATACGTATTCTTATACAGCTCCCATTCCCTTCATAGAAAGTAAGCTCTTTGGGCAAAGGTTTCATTTTTTTTTTCCTCTACGTCTCCAGAGCCTAGCGCAGGACCTGGTTCATTGTAGACTCTTAGTAAGTGTATGTTGACATCCAAAACCGCAGGTTGGAATGATGGGATGGTTTCTTCTCTTAGAACCTGAAGGGCACATTTACATTTGTCATCAAACTGAAGGGCAGTTGAATCTTACTCAATCAAATTGGACATCATTGTTCCCATACTCTCTCCCGTGCATCTGGGATCTCATGGACGAGGCTCCTGCCTTCCACCTGCAGATGACAACCTTGCTGGCCTTTCCTATGCCCCCCCCCCAAAAATTATAGTTAATGGTAAACCCTGAAACACCTTTGCCATTAACATTAATATAGTTTTGTTTTCACAATTCATGGTTCATTTTTGCAGTTGACTTGTGTTCTGTGTTGGCTGGCTGCCCTTCTGTGTTAGACAGTGATTTCAAGTTTGAGAAATTCTTTGCTCATGTGAAGTGGCTTATGGGGGCCTAAGAGGGCTTTCTGGGTACACTTCACTTGACAATTCTCTTTTCACTTGAAGGCTAAATTGGCATTTGCACTTCTGTCTTCAGAGGCAATTCTGAAGCTGTGGGCTTTGCGTAAGTGAGCAGGAGCTATGGGGGATTCTCAGAATGCTAGGGAAAATTGAAAAAGGCCCAAATGCTGTGTGCTGCAAGTAAGTATGCAGAAATACTATTGACACTTCTTTAATTGTTCTCAGTTTTGGTGGAGGGAAATTGTGCCCCAGGCTACACCTGTCTTAATGTCTGTAAGATTTACTCTTGCAATAACCAGAACAGTTTCCTTATGTTTTCCCTCCTTCCTTTCCCATTTTTCCCCTCCAATAAAATATCTACAAAAAAGGGGCAGAGTTATGCAAGCCAACACTGTATCCTGTCTTTATGCAACTTTCTGAGATCATGAAACATCCCAACCACTTAATAAACTCCATGGTATGTGCCCTACACAATTGATGTCACTTACCAGTAGTGAACCATAATGACTTTCTTTGCTGTGCAAAGGTGCCATATGTGCCTTTTATCAAATCACTGATAAAAATGTTATTCAGTACATTGTTAAGCTTAGAAAACTGGGCCACTCCACTGGGGTGGACAGAACACTAGTTTGGAATTCAATAACCTGGATTCGAATCCCCCCTCTGCTACTCTGAACTTTTGTTGTGACTTTGATCAATCACTTAACCACTTGGGGCTGCAGTTTCCTTACTTATAAAATGAAGGGGTTGAGCTGTGTGTCTTTGAAGTCCATATCTGCTCTATATCTATGCTGTGCCATGATTCTATCACTGAACCTCACTGGGGCCTCAATTTTTGTCACTTACAAAATAACTTGGGTTTTACAAAAGTTCCTTCTGAACACTAAATGTGTTCGCTATGATCTTGAGTTATCAAACCTTTAGTAGTTGGTTACTCTTTGAGCCATTCAACCAACTCCAGATTCACCTAAATTAGACTATTGCCTATTCACATTTTTCCTAAAGAATTTATTTTTATTTTAAACTTAGCAAATACTAAATAAAATGAGCATCTCCATACACACAGCAAAACAGGAAAAGAATGTTAGATGAAAGCAGGGCACTCTAGTCCAGGCTTTCCTCTCCTTTTCTATCACATGTTCTAAGATGACTTGATTACTTCTTGCCAAAATTCTCGTCATTTCCATCAAAAGCAGATAATTAGTTCTTTCTTTTCAGTAAGGTTCATAGGCTCTTTGACTTAGAGCTGGAAGAGACCTTTAAAGTCATCAGTTCAAGCACCATCATTTTACAAGTGAGGAATGTGAGGCAAACAGAGGTTGAGGGAACTGTCCATGGTCACGCAGCTAGTAAGGATCTGGTGAAGTGGAGGAGATTCAAACCCGAGTCTTCCTGCCTCTGATTTCAGTGAAAAATTCCCTGTATGATGTTGCTATTCCAGAGCAGAAATTTCCCTTGATTGTATCCTAGAAATTTTGAAGGATGAAATAAGCCAGTTTAAAAAGTCATTGTGCTGCTTTAGCACAGTAGATAACTGAAGTCTTCCATTGGTTACTGTAACATGTTTCCTTTTTTTATTTTTTTTTTTTGGCTAGGCAATCAGGTTAAGTGGCTTTTCCAGGGTCACACAGCTAGTAAGTGTCAAGTGTCTGAGACTGGATTTGAACTCAGGTCCTCTTGATTCCAGGGTCAGTGCTCTATCCACTACACCACCTAGTTGCCCTGTAACATGCTTCTAACCATGTACGAATTTCCCAAACTTCTTATCTTTTTCTTCTTTCTAATTGGTGTCATTGATATTACCATATAAATGCTTCCTACCATAATTCCTCTCGTAGTTTTTTTTCTTATTGTGTGATGCTGCTCTCCCACCTCACCACCACCACCCAACTACCTTTTAACTGCCTGCTTTCTTTTGAAAAGGTCTATCTTTTCAAGGCCATGTTTGAATCATGGGTCTTATTCTACCTTGTCTTGGCTTGTGAAGTCCAATTTGTCTCCTTACATTAAGATTTCAGGTTTATCTTGTGTCATATGTGTATTTTGTGCATTCGTTCATAAACATTTTAAGCCTTGGGTTTTATTACTTATTGCTACTGATTTTCTTGTTTGTTTGTTTTTTTCCTTTGAACTTCTTGGCATCTTCTTCTGTTATTCTTGCTAAACTTCAGCCACTCGCTGTGGTATCTGCTTTGGTTTATGAATATTTAGTCCGTTTTCTCACTCTTTTCAATTTAAAACCTTTCTGATTAGGTGATTTATATGAGATTTTTAAAGAGATGCAGAATCAGAGGTCATGCTTAGAACACCATTCTACTCTAAATAATGTCAGTAAAGAGGATAGAATGTTTAATTGTTCTACCTCCTCTGTGCAGCCATTTTCCCTTTTATATTTTGGACTAAACCCCAATGTTCTCTGCTTCTTTTCAAACACCCAAAAACTTATTCCTTGTCTGTTTCCTATTACAGAAAGGGCCATTGCGAGACATGAAGTGCGCGAAATTGAACAGAGGCATACGATGGATGGTCCTAGGCCAGATGCAGCTTTGGATGAGGAGGAAGACGTGGTGATCATTTATAACAGAGTCCCTAAAACTGCAAGCACTTCATTTACCAACATTGCCTATGACCTGTGTGCAAAGAATAAGTACCATGTCCTCCATATAAACACCACCAAAAACAATCCCGTGATGTCCCTGCAAGATCAGGTAAGCTCAGGGCATAACTGCCCATTGACATGTGTTTTCTCGAGGATTTAATTTCCAGCACTACTCTCAAGGAGCATCTCATTTGGAAGAAACATAACATTTCTTATCTCTTCTGGCTGCCGTAAGTGTCTTAAGGATTGTGACTTGTACAGTTTTGTGGCCTGTACAGCAGATAGGATTATGCCTTGCACTTAGAAGGAATTCAGCAAAATGTTGGCACAGTGGATAGAGCACTGGGCTTGGGATCAGGAAGTCTCATTCATCTTCATGAATTCAAATCTGGCCACAGACACTTACTAGCTGTGTGACCCTGAGCAAGTCACTTTACCCTGTTTGCCTCAGTTTTCTGATCTGTAAAATGAGCTGGAGAAGGAAATGGCAAACTACTCCAGTATTTTTGCCAAGAAAACCCAAAATGGTGTCATGGAGAGTCAGACACAACTGAAAGGACTGAATAGCACGACAAAAATGTTTGTGGAATGAATGAGTTATTTTCTTTTAAGTATAATAGCAGAGTAAACTCCCCAATTAAATGTCCTTCATCAAAGCTGCATGCTATTTCACAGCACCAAAATAGAGGTTATATAATTAATTGGTTCTGTTCCACAAACGTTATTTAGCGTCACTGGGTCCAAGGCATCATGCCAGGCATTGAGAATAGGAAGATGGAAAGATGATCCAGTCTTTGACTTCCAGAAGATTTTAGTCAAATGAGATAGTACATGTAAACCACTTTGCAAACCTTACAGTATTATATAAATGCTATCGATCATGATCATAATTTAATCTCAGTTATTTTTATTATTTAGTCTATAGGTGTCACATTTATATTATCTTATTATTATTATCATCATCCTCATTATTACATTATAATGATAGATCTTTTATTAATTCAAGGATCTATAACTATGCTGTGTGGGCTACACTGTCCACTAACCGTGATGGTCTTTGAGAGTTGTTGTTGTTCAGTCATTTCATTTGTTTCCAACTGTAATACAATGTTTGTGGATAGAACCAATTATATAACCTCTGTTTTGATGCTGTGAAATACTGTGCAGCTTTGCTGAAGGATATTTAATTAGGGAGTTTGCTCTGCTATTAGACTTAAAAGAAAACCATTCATTCAACAAACATTTTTGTTGTGCTGTTCAGTCCTTTTAGTTGTGTCTGACTCTTCGTGACACCATTTTGGGGTTTTCTTGGTAAAGATACTGGAGTGGTTTGCCAATTTCTTCTCTAACTCATTTTGCAAATGAGGAAACTGAGACATACAAAGTTAAGTGATTGGAGAGTTGTTGTAGCCAAAAAGTTGATCCATTTGAAGCCTACCTTAAGAAAGCTGGGAAAACCTGGTGATGAGCCTCTCCAAACTTAGAAATTTAACTGGTCCTCAGAGAGATAGGTGGTTCATCACCAGGTCCCTGCCCCATAGAATGTGGTACAAGTCACTGTGTCTTAAGTAATGATGTAAGTAGTTTTTATTTGAAGAATATATGTATAAAATGCACATGTAGAAGATTCTAGGCAATAATTACTACCCGATTTGTAACTGTCTTCAACCATCTCGGCTCAACTTCTCGTAATTTCTGTGAATGACCGATCAAAGCTTCAGGAGGTCAGGAATCATATCTTTTTAAATTCTTTTGTCCATAGAATCATAAAATCTCAGAATTAGGAGGGACTTTATAGGTTCATACAGTTCAACTCATACCTCAGCAGGGATTCACTCCTTCCACCCTCAAGATTTCACCTCCTTTACAACTTAGTGAATGTTGTAATTTTTGTAGCTGAAAAATAGAGCCATTTCCATCTTCACTATCCCTGACAGGTGGTCATTCAGACCCTGAATAAATTGAATTATGGGAAACTCGTCTCCCAAAGCATTGTATTCAATAAGTATTTGTTGAGTGATGGAATGGTTTGATTTTAGAAAAGTGGGAAAATGCTTAATAAAATGTCAAAAGACAAAGACAGTTTACAAATAAAGAAATACACATAGTAAATCATCTCATAGAAAATTCAGATAGCCTTTTTAGCAATAAAATAAATTAGGATTAAAGTGACTAAGTTACCATTTGATACCTAACAAACTAGCAAAATAAATCAAAATTATCAGCTCTAATGTGGGATAGGATGTGAGCAAACAGATACGTTTAAACATTGTTGGTGAAGCAAATGGATTCGTTCTTCCTGCATTATGATCTGGCTTGATGTACCCAAAAGCTGTAAAACCGTTTTTACCCTTTCTTTGGACAATTCCACTTGAGAATAATGGCCCAAAGAAGGGGAGAGGGACGTGGACTTGAGATTTCATTGGAAGGAGATTCCCTCCACCAGTGTAGGTCAACCCCCTCTCTGCAATTTAACATTCTTAGAATTCTAAATTCTGGATTAGGGTTGCCTAGAGCAGCACTGGCCCACGATACTCCTGAGTGCCAGTGATCCAGATTAAAATGGAGTTGGAAAATATTTTAACAAAATACATAAGAATACAATAAAACATTGAAAATACCACATTTTAAAACAAATTCATTTTGGGGCCCACAGGAATCCTTACTCATGGTTTAATGGCCCCTGTTTCTATTAGAGTTTTGACTCCATTGGCTTGGAGCACTGAGGTTCAGTGATTTATCCAAGGTCACACAGCCAGGATGTGCCAGAGGAAGGATTTGAACTTGGGTCTTCCTAGATCCGAGACTGGCTTTCTGTTCACTACACCACACCGCCTTTCCTTTCCGACAATACTCTTTTTTCTTTTTTTTTTTTTTCCAGAAGCAGTTGGGGTTAAGTGTGGGTGTCACACAGCTATTAAGTGTCTAAAGCTGGATTTGAACTCTGGTACTCCTGACTCCAGGGCCAGTGTTCTATCTACTGTGCCCCCTAGGTGCTCTCCCTTTCCTTCAGTACTCTTAAACATTTATGTAAGGGAATGGATGAAAGATGGACCAGAATTCTGAAACCTATTTGAGTGGCCTCCTTTGGAGCCTGGTGTCTTCTGACGGTGGCCTTATTAAGAAACTGTTCATAATGGTCCTATAATTAGGGTAACATTTTCTCTATATGAAGACAATTAAAATTGTTCCATTATAACAGAATGAACTGTTATCACACAATTTGGCCTAAGTGCACTCTCCACACTGAAGCAGAAGATTGGAATAGCAGTGGCCCAGAAGGGTAAGCTAGACTTGCTTTGGCAGGAGCAGTTTGCAAAGCGGTCATCTATGCCTGTCATCTGTCCCTGTTATTCTTGGCTGTTGCGCACTGCGCTCTCAGTTACTGCTGTTCCCATCACCAAAATCTACCGCCCTCCGCCAAACCAAATAAATCTGCTAAATGAGAAGAAACACGAGCTTATTTAGCTAAGTGGGTCATCAAAACTATACATCATGTAATGTCGCATATCTCAAGGGGAAGTGCACTAAGTATCTGATTTTTAGATGGTGTTCAGCAGGTTTTCAATCCATTTGCATTACTGCTTCTCCGACTCCTTGCTTCTAAAGGAGCTCTTTCCTAATGCCTGCAGAACAATTTGGAGATTCCCTCTGTCCTGTTGTTTAGCATCCCCCCTTTAGCTCCATTATCCCTTTGCCAGGGCTTCTTTTGTGTCCAAGATTGGAGATGATTGGCTGGCAATGGTATCCACCATTTTATCTCAGAAGCATAAATTGACAGAAGCACCTAAATATGACATTTAGAGGTGTCCTGTGCTCACACATTTACCTAATTTCATTTGGTTGAAAAGAAGCTTCTGTTTTTCTCTCAATAGCTTGTTAGTTGTAGAGAAAAATAAAATCGAGCGGTGGGAGAGAAGCATAAAAGCAATTGAACTGAATACAGAATAGCCCTTAGGATGTCACTGTGTGGGGCAGCTGGAGGATTGGTCTTGAAAACATGAGTAGAGATGACTTCTAAACGTGCTTTCTACATCGTCAAGAGCCGTGGATTAAGAAAGAAACAGAAATGGTGAAGGCTCAGACCTGTCTATGCAAGGACCAAACACATACATGTATTTGGGGACTTATTTTCCTATAAAAAAGCAATCCTTCAAGCAATCCACCATTATTCTCTCTCTCTCTCTCTCTCTCTCTCTCTCTCTGTCTTTCTGGAGTGACATTGAAGAAAGTGAAACATTTTATTAAGCTAGTATTTTCTGAATTGTTCTAAGACCTAGGTTTCCAACATGTGGCCAGTGGTGACCTTATTCACCCCAGGGTACAGGCTCTTTGAGATTTTTTTTTAGCAAAAAATGGTTTTAGCCAATATGTCATTGTTGTTGTTCAGTCATTTCAGCCCTATCTTTCTGCGACCGCATTTGGGGTTTTCTTGGCAAAGGTACTGGAGTAGTTTGCCATTTCCTTCTTACAGATGAGGAAAGTGAGGGAAACAGGGTGAAGGGACTTTCCCAGGGTAACAGAACTCGTAAGTGTCCAAGACCAGATTTGAACTCAGGAAGATGAGTCAGGAGTGGCACTTTACCTACCGTGCCACTTAGCTGCTCTTTAGCCAGTTTGCTGGTTTGTGTGATCCCGTAGGATCTTAGGAGGTAGAGAGGGGGTGGAAAGTAGAAGTTAACCCTTTAATTTTACAGGTGGGAGAGTGAAGTGCCTTGACAGAGGTCACCTCAGTAATGAGTGGACAAGGCTGGATTTGAACCCAGGTTCAAAGCCCTCAAGGCCTTTAAAGGCACTTTTGCTTACTTCATTCTACTTTAGCTATTTGACATCCCAAATAGCCCTTCCTAATGGGAGGAATGATTACAGCCCCTTTTAAGGGGACGGGCCTGAGGTCTGGAGGAGTTCAAGTCTCTCACCAGCCTCAGGCTGGCAGCTCCAAACTCTGACTCGCCATGGTCCCCCCGCCTGCTCTTACTCCATGCTTCCCTATTTCTGTTCATTTCTTCAGTCATCATGAGCTACTCCCTTTCTTCAGTCAGTGGTCAAGGAAATTGTTTCAGTTCTAGGTCATTGGTGTCAAAGTCAAATGGAAATCTGAGGATCCCT